CTTTCTTTCTTTCTTTCTTTCTTTCTTTCTTTCTTTCTTTCTTTCTTTCTTTCTTTCTTTCTTTCTTTCTTTCTTTCTTTCTTTCTTTCTTTCTTTAAAAAAGGACCCTTTTGTGAAAGTTTTATGAGATATTTTCATGATAATCATTGGACACCTTCAGTTGTTATCCCTGGATTAAGCTCTGCTTGCTATCTTGCAGGCAGTAACATATTGGAGGTTTATTTGTTCTCTTGTTTGGAGTGAAGAGCCTCGGCTGACAGTGGTTGTTGGCCAAGGTTGTCTGCCTTGGCAACTGTCTCTGTGTGTTTGTGGTTAGTCCTTGGCTGGAGACTACCAGCAAAATACCAGGGATGATCGCCTACAACACTCAGAAAACACGACATTGGCAAACCGCTGCAATATTGATGCCAAGAAAAATCATACGGATGAGTGGTCATATGCCACAAGAAGTCAAGCATCAACTTGCTTTTCCATTTTAATGGGCCGTAATGTAGTGGAAATGCAGGGCCCTGTATTATTCAAGCAAGCAATTAGGCTGTTTGAGCTACTTGCTTTTCATGAGAGCGAATACGTTCTCGTGAATTTCCTGGGACTTCCGTATCCCACGTCGTGTGCGGTTGTACATGTGACGGAGCTGAAGAATCCCAAGTAGTGAAGCCATTGCAAGCACTCTCCTCTCAAAGCATGCTTGAAAAGACAAACAAGAGTCTATTTTAGTTAACAGATGTTGCAATGTGACACTTTGGATGGACTCCCTGTTTTTTTGGAGCCATCCAGCCCGTGATTTCGTGCCACGTAAATTTAGATTTCTGACGAATTCTGTTCTTTTAAAAAACTCTGAAATAGTTTTTAATAAACTAGAATTCACAAGCTTTTTTTTCTCTTGCCAAATGTCACACTCTCCCTGTTCTGACCCAGCCTTAGCAGCCTTAGCAGAAACCTTAGCAGAAACAAGAAACAGACTCCTTGTCACGAAACCCCCCTCTTTATTTTCCTCTTCTGAATTAATTGCATTTACCCACCGTTAGTTGCATTACAGACCTTGCGATAATGTCAAGGCCGTGAGCTCCCAGACGAAAGGCTGCAAATTAAGTTCTGGCAAGCAGTCTCTGTGGCACGAAACAAGATGAGCCAAATCTTCAGAAATCCAAACTGTTGTCTCCTACAACCACCACTCCCCTTTCCTTCTATTTATTCCACAGCCAGGGGGCCATTCAGCATCCACATGTGCGTTGCGTCCCAAGTTGACTCCTTGTCCTCTGTTGTTCTCCTTTCCTAACAGCTCTGTGCATATGCACATCTGGAACAGGCCCCAGCTGTTCTTCCTCCCCACTTATCTCAGCTTCCGAAGATGTAACAGCTAATTTATTAGCTAAAGAGCCATGGTGGCACAGTGATTAGAGTGAGGTATTGCAGGCAAATTCTGCCGACTGCTGACAGCCAGGAGTTCGATTCTGGCCAGCTTAAGGTTGACTCAACTTTCCATCCTTCCAAGGGTCACATTGCTGGGGACCATATGCTGATTCTGTAAACTGCTTAGAAAGGGCAGTAATATAGTGTATGTGTGTAAACATGCATGCATGCATACATACATGCATACATACACACATATACATACATGCATACATATAGTAAAGTATAGTAAAGCACTATAAACTGGTATATAAGTGCTATTGCTATTGTTATAAAATGTAGTATCTCTAGATACATAGATACTATGAATCTAGATATTATCTACAAATATACTAGTCTTTGATATTAACATTTTTTCTCATTTAATATGATCACATTTTATATAAATTTTAGATACTACTTTATAACCTAGAGATAGGTTGATCCATTTGGACTTTACTCCAAATGGATTTCTAGACAAGTTGTTTTATAAACCTATTTCAGTTTTGTCTTAAATTTTATTTACTGTGTTTTAAGATAGTATTCAAGCATCAATGGACACATTGCTTCTACTGGTCTAAGACTGATTGAAACTCTTATGTAAACAAAACTTATATGTAATGTGTATTTTTATAATGTCTGCACACATTATATATGCTGCTTACATTTAAGACTGATTGGAATATATGCTTGGCATTAAATTATGTTTATCATAATCATTCCTAAGTGGTAAGTATTGTAAAATCTGGGATTCGTTCTCCCAAAAGACAATCTTGGGAGCCATGTTTAATGCAAGTTATAGTAACACTGTTTCCAAAATTTTGTCCACTGCTTTAATGTGCAAATTAATATTCTGACTTAGGCTTCACAAAATTACGAAACGGACTCCTTGTCCTGACAGAACCCCTTTTTATTAAGCTAATGTGAATTCCTCTCATTCACATCCAGCAAAGTCCCGGCAAACAGTATTTCAAGGGTGAATTTACAACCACAGGCGCTATCAGGCTTGGAGAGGTGCCAGGCCGATATCTTCCAAACACAATGCTATACAAGGAAATAATTGGCAAGGAGTCTCTGAGACTTCTTCACACTAATTAAGCGAACTAATTGTCTCCTGCAAACTCCACTTGCCTTATTCCCTCCTCTTTATTCCCTATGGGAGGGTCCATTCACCGTCCACCTGTGGCCTTATTCCTGAGTCAGCCCTTGTACTTTAACTGTTCCCTTCTCCTGGCTGCTCTGCGTATGCGCACATCGGGAACAGGCTCCAGCTGTTCTTCTGCCTCAATGACCTCTGACTCTGAAGGCAGCTGATAACTGTTGGACGGCCCTGGCCCCCTCTCTGCCTCCAATGCAGAGCCCTCATCAGAGCCTTCCCCAGACTCTAGTACTGGCCCAGGTTCCTCCCCAGCCTTCTTCCTGTTTGAGTCTGCCACCAGCTCCGCTGGCCACTGGCGGACCACAACAATTAACGGGGTGGAAGAGATACTGCCTTCCATCCTCATACTTTTTTCCACCCATTCTCAATTTCTGTTGGAATAAATATTTTTTGATGACTTGTTGCAACAATTTTTGAGCCGAGACACGTATCTCTTCCTGGCCCTGTGCTAATTCTGGTCTTGGCATTGGTTATGATATGGGGGCTAAAAAAAAGAGAGAGAGAAGAGTTTGAAGTGTGCATGAAAGCTGTTTCCATAAACTAATAGCTTAGGATAATGATGAGGAATATCGCCTGTCTCAAGTAAACCAGTCAACGCTACATTTTGCCTAGATGTAGAGCAATTCTTAGCATCTGCAGTCATGAAGATTAAGTAAAACTATGACATAATAATCCAATCTTGGCAACGTTATGCCTATTTATTTATAGGAAGACATGAATCTAAATGAAGAACGAAAAGCTCCTTTACGGAATAAAGATTTGACCACGAAACGTGAAATGGTTGTCCAGTACATTTCAGCAACTGCCAAATCTGTGAGTAGAGTTTCTGCCTTCCTCGCTTCCCAAGATAGGTCAGACTAATACTCTTAACCACATCTGCAGTTTTCAACTCAAATCTCCAAAATTTCTGCTTTCCGTTTATCATTATTAAGAGCACCTACAAAGCTTTCTTCCTGAAATCCTTTAAAATGCCTTCAAGGGCAGATAAAAGCCTTAATTAGAATGTACTGCGTATCTCACAACCGGATAGTCAATTTGAAACATGATTCTCTCCTTACAGTAAACCAATAAGTATTTTAAATCCACTGCTCTGGAATAATTATCAAGCTTTTTTCCACAGAGTCTCTTGCATGCATATGATAGCAGAAAGAGAGAGAGAAAAAAACAGACTTTTCTGACTTTAAAGTGAAAACATATCTTTCCTAACTGCTTTCTTGTTGACTGATGCTATAAATTGGGTGCTATTTCTAAAATAAAAACTGCTGGGATCAATGATTTCGTTTTCCCACGCTTTCTTGGGGTGTTTCCTATCCTGTCTTGTGATGTTCAACTCAGAGGAATTCGATGGTTAGGACAGTTACACAAAACTCTGCAAGCACTGTGCAAGCAATGCTTTCTTTGTAAAGTAGCTTTTGCAAATGGGCTTTTTTAGTCTAATTGATTGCTTTAAAGTCCAGATCACAAGGCCAAGCAGCAAACACCATTCGTGGCCCAATAAAGCAGTCTGTTGTCGGTTTGGTTGTGTTGAACTCAAATCGGAAACATTTTTTTTTCCCATGCTTTGAAACAAGTTGTACTTGTAGACCAGGCCAATAAAGTTTCTTGGCTGTGGAATTGTATGGAATAGGTCAGCGATGGGGATGTGTGCCAAAAAAAGCGACTTATGAGCGTTTTTGACACTTACAATCATTGCAGCATCCCAATAGTTACGTGGTCAAAATTTAGACGTTTGACTGCTGACTCATATTTACGACGGTTGCAATGTTCTGGGATCCCCTTTTTGTAACCTTCTGACAAGCTGAGTCAATGGGGAAGACAGATTCACTTAATAACCGGGTCACTAATTTAACAACTATAACGATTGCCTTAACAATTGTGGCAAGAAAGATGGAGCAAAATTCACTAAACATTTGTCTCACGTAGCAACATAAATTTGGGGCTCGATTGTGGTCGTACCTACTGTAATGTTCTCCTGTATTGATGGAGAAAAAATATGGCACGGTATCGAAAGTGACACAGTTGATCCTGATAATATCTAGCTCGAACTACTTAGGATTGAGTAGGCTTTCTCAG